ATTTCGATGATATACTTAGTGTATGGATCTCTGTCATAGGGAATGGAGTTGGGAAGTCTGATACTAGTTTGAATGGTTGAGAATCCAAAACTCACTACCATCTGGTTCATCTCATAGAAGATCTGGACAATAGGGTTTTCATTCTTGTCTTGCACCGTCTTTGCTTCATCAATATTCCATAATTGCCTTAGGATATCCTTCACCATTACACGTTGAAAGGTGAGGGAGTATCCCATGACGAAGTTCTTCAAAAACTTAGCAGCATCTGCAAATTGAGGTTTGTCTGCAGGGATATCCAGGAGTGCTACGTGATTGTTGGGTTTGAATGTGATGTCTTCCAAGGCAAAGTTCACGCTTTGTGCAACAACCATTTCTTTAAAAGAAAGAATAGAAGAATGGTATAGTGCATTGATTAATGTTAGAAAGAACTTTAGGACAAAGTTTAAAGAATAAACTTTCTTTTGAAAAACCTTAAGAAAAGTAGGGTTTTCAAGAAGATTAGGGCTTTAGAAACTTGGTTAAAATAAATCAAGAAGAAGAATGATTTAACAAAACTTGTTTGTATTTAAAAGGAAGAAAGACATATTTAAATAACAAACAAGTTTCTTGAAGATTAACAACCAAAAATAAGAAGTTACAAACTTGTTTCTTGAAAAAAGGAGAAGAAAACTGGTTTTAAAGGATTTTCTGGAAGTTCTTACTTGCACAAAATATATAGAGAGAGTTTTTGTGTTCGCATAAGAGAAATATGAGATGGTAAGAGAGATATATATAGGTGAGATGAGAGAGGAAAATGATGTTTCGAAAAGATGTGCAATGATAAATTTATTTGCACGTCTTTTTAAGGTGCGTGGGTAGAAAGGGTAATGGACTGTGTGTGTCAGAAGGACACGTGTGATACCATAAATTTTTTAATGAAGTCATAAAATATAACTGTTCATTATCCTTTTTCTTTCAAAACAAAGTATCACTGAATAAAAAAAGTTTAATGATAATTTTAAGTTTCTTTAAAACAAAATATCATTGAATAAGAAAAGAATTCAATGATAGTTCTAAGTTTTAAGAAAAGAAAAATATACCTTAAGAGTAAAATATTCAATGATAGAGAAACAAACACTGAATCATCACTTTAAAAAAAAATTAATCCTTGAATAAGAAAAGATTCAATGATGGTTTTAAGTTTTGAGAAATAGAAAAGATAAGTAGCATACCTTAGAGAGAAAGATACATTTACTCAAGAGTTCAATGACAGATTAGAAACACTGAATCATTTCACTTTATATCATTGAGTATTGCTTAGAGCTAAAGGAATTAATCCTCAGCGTTCAACATTCCAAGTTCATTGATTAAAATATCAAATCTTGTTTCATCAAGAGACTTTGTAAACAGATCAGCGAGTTGGTAATCAGTGGGTACGAAGTGAATTTAATATTACCATTCATAACATGATCTCTGATAAAATGATATATAATCTCAATATGTTTGGTCTTAGATTGAAGTATAGGGTTGTTTGCAATTGTAATGGCACTAGTGATATTGCAGTAGATAGGGATCTTAGAAAGCTGATGATCATAATTACTGAGCTGATTTTTCATCCAAAGAATTTGGGCATAACATTTTTCAGCGGCTACATATTCAGCTTTAGCAGTTGATGTGGACACTAAGTTTGCTTTTTTACTTGACAGCCTCTAGTGGTGCTTTTTCTATCGATCTTGTAACCTTCAAAATCACTATCCGCATAACCTATTAGGTCAAAACCTGAGTCTTTGGATACCAAAGACCCAGATTAGGAGTACCCTTAAGATATCTTAATATGTGTTTTGCAGCAATCAGATGGGATTCTTTGGGTTCAGACTGATATACTGCACATAGACAAGTAGAATACATGATATCAGGTCGGCAAGCTATGAGATACAGCAATGAGCCAATCATTCCCCTGTAAGCAGTAACGTTTATAGGCTTTCCATTTGGATCCTCAATGAGAGAGAAGGAGCCATTGGAGTCTTCAAGGATGAATTGTTGGTTAAGTCGAATTTCTTCAACATATCCCTGACATACTTACTCTAATTGATAAAATGTCTTTATCAGATTTCTTAATTTGAAGACCTAGAAAATATGTCAGTTCTCTCATCATGCATTCAGAGAAGAGAAAACACAAAGAGGAATTAGTGGAGCCAAATATAATATCATCGAAATAAATTTAGACTAGAATTATATGACCCTTGACTTTCCTAAGAAATAAGGCTTGGTCAATCTTTCCACGAACAAAATTCTCATAGACGAGAAATGAAGAATGAGTGTCATACCAGGCACGAAGAGCCTGTTTTAACCCATAAAAAGCTTTATCCAATTGATAGACATGATTTGGATACTATGGGCCAAGAAATGCTGGAGGTTGTTCAACATAAACTTCCTCCTGATGTTTTCCATAAAGAAAAGCGTTCTTTACATCCATTTGGTAGACTCTGAAGTTCTTATGGGCAACATAGGCTAGGAAGAGTTGAATAGCTTCGAATCTAGCCACTGGTGCAAAGGTCTCATCCTAGTCGATGTCTTCTTCTTGACTGTATCCCTGAGCAACAAAACGAGCCTTATTACGGGTTATAATTCCTTGGTCATCCAACTTATTGAGATAAACTCATTTGGTGCCTATCACAGTTTTGCTAGATGGACGTGGGACAAGGTACCAGACTTTGTTCCTATCAAACTCAATGAGTTATTATTGCATAGCAGTGACCCATTTTGGGTCAGTGATAGGCTCACTGATTTTCTTGGGCTCAACTAAAGAAAGATAGTTGATAAAGAGACTTATATTACCTAGACCACGATGAGTTTGAACACCTGCACTTGGATCACCAATAATTTGATTGATGAGATGGTCTTTCATCTATCGTTGAGCTGGTAGATGATACAAATTATCACCTTCTGAGTTTTGGGGCTCAGGTACAGAAGATGAGGCTTCAACAAGAGAGTCTTCAACAATAACTTGAATTGCCAAAAGAGCCTCAATGAGCGATTCATTTATTGAGAGAGGTTTTGTGATTGAAGGAGATTCAGCGATTGAAGGATCAATATTTGAAGTAGAAGGGGGTATGTGACTAATGGGAGCTGCAACAATCTTTAAAGAGGATCCAACTTTGTTATTAGTCGCTACTGGAATAATAAATGGATCATCTTCAGCTTCAGGGAGATCAGCTTTCGGTTGATTGCTGAAGGAAGCTTCAGGTTCTCCATAGTGAGATATCATCCAATTGTCTAACTCTTCATCATCTTCACAAATGGCTTTAGAGTTAGCTGATTGAGATTCATCAAACGTGACATGGATATATTGTTCTATTGTTTGTAGTTTTTTGTTGAATACTCTGAAGGCTTTGGATACTGAAGAGTATCCAAGAAAGATTCTTTCATCAGCTTTGGGATCAAACTTTCCAAGATGATCTATGTTATTAAAATGTACCACGTACAACCAAAGATGTGTAGAAAGCTGAGAGAAGGCTTCCTGCTATGGAAAAGTTCATAAGTTGTCTTCTTGGATATTTTAACGATCGGCGATCGATTATGAGTAAAACAAGCAATGTTGACAGCTTCTTCCTAGATTTGAATAGAAAGACGAGATTCATTGGACATTGATCGAGCAACTTCGATTATCATTCAATTTCTCCTTTCAGCAACCCCGTTTGTTGTAGAGTTCTCATAGCTAAGAAATTGTGTGAGATTCCCTTGTTTACAAAGAAGTCATCAATGGTACTCTTTTTTGAATTCAGTGCATGATCACTCTTGATAGAGCCTACCTTGATGTTGTTTAGTACTTCTATGCACTTGAAGAACGAGATGATTTCTTTAGGTGAATTACTCTTGGATCTGAGAAAGAAAACCCAAGTATACCTGGAAAACTCGTCAACAATAACGAGCGTATATTTCTTTCCAGCTATGGATTGTATATTGACAGGACCAAATAAATCCATGTGCAGTAGCTGAAGCGGAGAAGTCACTGAAGAGACTTGCTATGATTTAAAGCTATCATTTGTCTGCTTTCCTTTTCCACACACTGAGCAAAAAGATTCCTTTGCAAAAGAGTGCTGAGGAAGGCTAGTGAGAAGATATTTTCTAGACAGCTCGTTCAGCGTTTTGAAGTTGATATGAGAAAGTCGTTTGTGCCACGACCAATTGATATCTGAGGAGGCTTTAGAGAGAACAACTATTCTCAGTGAAGAAAAAATCCATGTTGATGATGTACAAGTCCTCATCAGAATTTGTTATTTAAAGAAGGAGATGAGGTTATGTTGTTAGAACACATTGTGGATGTATTTCTGTTTGGAGAGTGTCATTTGTTCTTTTCAGAATTTCTAAGTCAATTTGGTCAAAATGAAGAAAGGTAGAACAAAGGAAGTTTGATTAAAAGTGTATCAAGTTTTGAAAGAAAAGTTTTGCTACCATTGTCACCAATGTTGCCTCCGCTCCAACCACCGCTGTCACCGCCACAACCACCCTTGACACCGCCACAAATGTTGCCTCCACCCTAACCACCACCACTATCGCCGCCACCACTATTATCACCATTGTCGCCATCAGCACCATGATCGGCATCATGGCTGTCACCACCAATTAATAATATTCTGTTTCAAAAGGCATCTAAAGGCCTCGTTAAAAATAGGAACTAAATTTCCCTTGTTAAAATATATATTTTTGACAAAGAATCCATTTTTTGAGTCATTTAAGAGACTTTTGGTTCACATAATGCTTTTTGAATGAACGTGACTTGTGAGAGGAAGACCTTCTAAATTCAATTCTTTCTCCACCATGATGGAATTATAAAATTCATGGTCGGTACGACTATGATTTCATTCTATTAGTAGATTAAACATCGAAATGAAATTTGGTTAACGAAAATTGATATAATTAAAACCCTATACATCGAGGGGTTTGGAGGGCTAATCAAACTATAGTGGGTAGGGGTGGGGGGCTGGATCAAATGCGTTGAAAACCAGCTATCTATCTCTCAAACCCAATAAATAGCCTGACATCTTTTTGTGTTATCAACCCTATCTTGGAAGATTTATCATAACCCCTTACTGGTTAACCATCTTCTCTGGTGTTGTGTGGGACCAATCACAGTAAAAAAATGGCGTACGCAGTGTTGAGGCGATCGTCCATGATGAAGTCAATGGCCACGGGAATCGGCGAATCATGGCGGAGGTTTGCCTCGGTTGCTGTAGGGACCGATCTGGTAGCGGCCGCTCCAAATGTTTCTCTCCAGAAGGCTCGGAGCTGGGATGAAGGCGTCTCCTCCCAATTCTCTACCACCACTCTCTCGGACATTTTCGTGGTCTGTCTCTGTCTGTTACATCTATGGATATTAAGAATTAGGGTTGGTGAGATTAATTTACTGTTTTATGTATTTTCAGGGTAAAAAAGTCGTCATCTTTGGGCTTCCTGTAAGTTCATCATTATACTATATATGTGTCCATTCCGCATTTAGAAGATTTAGGTATTTAGTGGTTATTATTTGATGTATTCTTTGTATGTTTATTATTTCTAGTTTATAGTTGGTCCTGGCCCTGCAATTCTAAAAGAATGAATTATAGAACTTCTTTTCGTCTAAGCCAATTTCTCTCAATTTCCCCTCTTCGTTTAAGGGACTCATCTCTTCATTTGAGGACTCCATTTATCCTCATTCCATTAACCAACATGAAAATAATGCACTAAAGGCTCATTTAGGTATATAAGATATTTTAATTGACCTATTAAAGAAAAAATGGCTATGTATTCGTGGGAAGATTATGGATTTAATTAAAATCTCAGGTAAGGTTATATACGTAAATACATCTGGGGTAACATTGATTTTGAAATTCAGGCATCTGGTAACTTAATTAAGAGTTTTGATTGCAGAAGTCAAGTTAAATTATTTTTAGCTAAGGATCTGTATAATTTCATGATTTTTCCTCAACAACCAAGCCAGTGTTGCTACCAGAACTCATATTGTTTATTCAATTAAAGACAAGTTCTGCTTATTTTCATTGGGAAAAAGAAAATTATGACAATGGTCTTATATTCAAAAGGAAAGGTATGCTTTTTGTGTCACTAGCTTCTAGTATGTGCTGCTTCATGAACCCCAAAATTTGGGTATATCAACTATTTTTGCCGAAGGAGGTTGCAGATGACTTTTATGTCTCTTATGTAGCATGTCTAAACAAAGAGGTTGTTAGTTGTCTCTTTTGTATCAAGTTCAAACAACGTTGTTGTTATCTTGTTGCTATATAGGAACTAATTTCAACAAACCAACCAACCAAATTGAAATGAGAAATAGGGGTCGGTGTGATAAGTACTATCATTGGTGCAAATATAAGATTTAAAGTTTCCTGGAGAACAAATGTATGAGGGCATGGGAGGTTCTTCGAACTCTTAAAAAGTCTCCTATTATTGCTTATTGGTTTCTTTTATGTTTGTCTCAACAAATTGATTGCCTATTATTTAGAGGATATGAGGGTTATAATCCTTATAAATTGATCTTGGGTTTTTGTTCAAAGTTCAAACTTCACCTATCAACTAACTATATGGGTATTATCCATGCATTCAAGACTAGTTTTTGTCAGTGTTGGCAACAGTCTGCACTATTGGTTTCTCTTTGGGCGTGATTGATTTGGGCGTGGCTAGTGGTTGAAGATGACTTGCTTAGACATTTGACAATTTGGGTTCTTTTGTTCTATATCTTACAAGTGTTTTACCACTTGGTGTTTATATTTGTGACAAACATTCTTTAAGATTCTTAGTTTAAGGGAACCGAAAGACATCCTATTAAAAATGGAAAGGTTTGTGCGAAAATCCTGTATGTTGAAGATTATGAAGTTTGTAGGATCTGATTCAAATTGGCTAGAATTTCTCTAAGATACTCCTCTAGTCGGTTGATTCAATTGAATAACAAAGACATAATTTAAACTATGATGGTGAACTGAGTTAAGCCCACAGAATAACAAAGAAATCAAATATCCCCTCTAGGTCTTCCCTTTTCTTATTTATACTACTTCAGGATAGCTAAACATAGTCTCCTGTCCAAACTAGCCCTTCCCCCTTAACTTCCACCTTGTCCTCAAGGTGGGAAGAAAAAATAAAGAAATTGTTGTTGGCATGTTACAACTTCTTCCCCACCGGAGACAAACCTTTCCACATAAGCATCAAGCCAACTTCATTGTTGCTTTTCAATGCTAAAGTCGAAGTTGAAAGAATTTCACTGAGTCTGCGACTCTTGGCTTTCTGCCTACTTATAGATTCCTCCAACTTTACTTGTCCAAACTTACTCTTAATCCAACAGCCATGGTCAGACAATTGGAAGGAACCTAACCCTTTCATTCCCTGTTTTGATTGGCCTACACGACAAAGACGAGGCCAACTTTGTAGTCATCTTCAATCCAACACCTAACTTGTGTTTTGATTTGATCTACTATTTCTTCCATCCATGAGGCACAAACTTTGTCTATGGGAAAAGCAACCATCGTAGTAGGGATTTTAGCCTCTAATGCTGCTTGTCTGGCATAATCCTCTCCTAAATTGTCCTCGATAACCTTGCCTAAATAACCTCTTTCTAGAAGCATCAGATCAACATTTTCTTTTTTTAAGTTACGTTCAATTGCTATGGACCCAAGTTTGGTGGCTGATAAAGTTGTAAGAAGACCGAGAAATACACCAAAGGGTGCACAACTCCCAATTTAATCTTCTCAGTGCCATCTGCTGCTCTGTTTATTGGCATGAAAGGATTTAAGGCTTCTTCTTTCTGATTACTTTTTCGAGATGCCACATGTTTAGTGCGCCTATGTACTTCGACAGAAAGTTGTGGTTGCATCGGCGGCGTGGGCAGGGGTGGTGGCGATTTTGACGGTATTTTTTGAAGATTGTTTCCCAATCAATCCCTTCCTTACGCCGTCCACAGTACTAGGTCCATCTACATCATCATAGTCCATACTCCATATTAAGTTTGGCATGAGATTGGGGTGAAATGAAATAACTTGACTGGACTTTAGTCGAATTGAATAACTTGACAATACTTGTGCCATATTGGAATAAGTTGGTTCCATTTGGGCCTTACTGAAAAAGATCGATTGGTTTTGTTCTTTTCATTGGCCATGGCAGAGTGGGCAGGGACGATGGTGGTGATGGCAAAGAAGACGGTGATGACGGTTGTAGGAAAACGACGACGGCAGAAAGGGGTTGGGGATGGTTTGGCGGAAGTGTTGATGCTTAATTTATGTATCTTCTTCTTTCTTTCCCTACGAATTCCTCTCCATATTCTCATGCCTCGTCATTCAATTTCAAATTTAACTGTGTTGTAACAAGATTGCCGTCCTCATTAAATCTGCCATATCATAATTGTCTCTTGGTATACATGAGCTTGGGTCATGGTACCATACCACATCAACATTCGCGAGTCAAATGGATGTCAATCTAACGGAGGGGATGTGATTAATATGCTTGCGAGAGTATAAGTATGAGATTGATAAATCCTGTTGTTGGGATATGTAATTGAAGAAACTGTGCAAGTCTAGTGACTTTTTTTATCTATTTTGCGTAGTTGATTTTTTTAATTTCCAAGTCGGAAATCAATACCTTGTGCAAGTTCATGACCCAAAGGAGTATTTTTTATAGGTATCGTGTCATATAACAAATTTTAGTTTCCATGTAGTGATGTAGTTAATAGTCATCAAGTTGAAATGATTTGGAGCTTGAGTAGCAAAGTTTTTGGAAACACAACTTAGGGTTCGTTTACCAAACACTTACTCGTGCAAGTGCTTACCAAGTCAGATTACCTAACAGGATGAATATGTCAAGTATCAAGAATCTTACCCAGTAAGAACGAAGTCAAGGACCAAGAGTCTTACCCGGTAAGTGAGGGCGACGACTCTTACCACGGTTAGCGCTTACCGGGTAAATTGTTTGCAATGCCGTTTTGGAGGACTAAATCTTATCCGGTAAATAAGTGATAATGTTGAATTTTACAGGTAAGTGCTTACCAGATAAGTGTTTAGATAAATGGCCCCTTAATTCATCGATCAATCATGAGGCTACACACACCGGTTTTGATATGTTTGCTATAGGATTATTAGATATATGGTGGGGGAGGGGAATACATTTTAAATATGATTAAACACCCAAAAGATTTGACATGTATGTACTCACTGTAGTGATATTTTTTTCTTGCTAAGAGGTAATTCCTAGAATCTAATAGGAGGACATTTCTTAGAATCTGGTAGGATGATGGTTCTTTGAATAATGGTTCTTAAAATCTACATTTAAGATGCATACTTGGCACAAAGAAAACAACAGAACGCATAATTTTCTTGCTTAACAGGTAAAAAGTTAGTGTGTTCAGAATTCAACAACACACATGCATATTGCTAATCTTGTTTGTTTATAAGCATAATTTTTTGGTGATCTATCGTTGTATTTTGAAATGCTCAAGAGCAAACCTGCTATTTTACGTGAAATTTGATAAACCATCATCCGGTTCACTTACGGTCATCGAAACAGTAAAAAATGGTTTTGTAGCTTATAAATGGAAGGGTAAGAATATTAGTAGAAACAATGGCTTCATGTCCACACTGGTGGGGAGGGGGGAGGGACCAAGTTGTTTTGAGGTTGTTAGTAGGGGAATTAAATAGCCTCGGTAAGAGAGAGGATAGATTCTGTTTTGTGATTCTCTAAATCCATTGGCTAAAGCCGGGAGAGCACCAGCCTCTCAAAAGCTGGAAAACCCTTGTAATCCCCAGAATCAGTAAATACATACCACTTTTTGCATTTCGAAATTGACATTTAAGCTTGAGCATATCAAAATTCTGGAAGGTCTCAGTGGCATAAAATGCAAAATGAAGTAGGATTATGCAGTTATAGCATAAGTCATCATCCATCACTATAATGATTGTTTAACGTTGTCTTGAATCTTTTAAGTTGATAAATGATTAATATTGATCAAACCATGTAAATGTCTTTTAATCTTTTATATTTTTAAGTTACTTGATTCCACTGTTTACTACAACAATTATAAAATAATCTCACTGGGGAGTTTACATTTTCAGGGTGCATTTACGGGAGTTTGTTCTGCCCAGCATGTTCCAAGTTACAAGAAAAACATTGACAAATTCAAGGCGAAAGGCATAGATTCGGTGATATGTGTATCTGTTAACGATCCATATACTATGAATGGCTGGGCTGAAAAACTTGAAGCCAAAGAAGTGGTAAGTTGTTCCTCATGCCTTGTCTTTATTCAAAAACAAATTGGCCATGGAATTATTTTTCTTATAAATTTCTAGTCTTATGTTTGATAGAATACATGGTGTGTATATTTTTCTAATTATAGACCGTGTCCCCCTTTGGGGAATAAAAAGATTTCCTCTCATTTTAAGTATGTCCTACATTTCTAATCCCATTCTAATGCATGGGGTCTTGAAACACATTTCTAGAAGATGGCATGTAGGATGTAAAAACAAACCATTTGAAGCTATGCACCTCACACTGATTCAGGATTCATATTATTTTTAATTTCCAAACATGAATGTACGTTGCAAATAGACATGCACAAGAATTATCTTACGGGGTAATACTAGGGATACATTTTACATGGATTGGTCAGTGTTCTAAAGGTTTCTGGGTAAGCGTCCTAGGCGTTAAACATTGTGTTGACTTGACCAATCACCTATGGTTAACATTCCCAAACACTTGGATTAGTAACTAATTGTTGAATTAAGCATTTCGGGAAAAAAAATGGGGAGTAATCAACTTTCCTCGAGTTGTTTCATCAATCAACCTTTGCAAGTAGGAGATAATATCTATGGTCCTTTTTGGGCAATTGTATTATTGGAACAATGAAAGTAGTCATATAGAAAAGCAACTATATCAAGATAATGTAGCACCAAATTCTCAAGTCTTATGTGTATAATCCAATAATAATTATATTTTAACACATTTTGGAGGATTTTATGTTTGCCTAAGCATCCACTTCAACTTTACTTAGAAGCATGGACGGACCTATAGTGGTGCATACGGTGGCACGTGCCACCGTATTATTTCTCCATCAAAGGTTAAAACATTTTTAGGTTCGTGAAAGGTGCAAACGTATTAATTTGTCATTTTGTTGTGTGCCACTGTATGTATTTTGGAACTACAATGAGAACAAGTTTTATTTAGTAGAGTTGGTTTGCAAGGCTTTTATTCCACTCCAGACCCAAGTTTGAATCCTGTGTCATTTTTCTTAGTCAAATGGTGCCACCGTTTGTAAAAATTTCTGGGTCGTCCCTGCTTAGAAGATTAGACCCTAGAAGGCCATCCAACCATCTAGCTTTGGTTAACATGTTTTAGAACACTTGGTTTATCGTGGGTGCCATAGTCAAATTCTGAGCATAAGGGTATGCCATAAGCATATATAAAGAAAGTGTGACAATGCCTTAATTTCTTAGTTTTTATATTTAGCAAATTTTCAATCTACATAACTATTTGTCTATTAGAAATCGTTGATGATATTGATTTTGGTCCTACATGATTCACATTTCATGGTGTTAAGAGTGCAGTTTTAACTAACAGTCAAAATTCTATTTGACTACCATGTGCTCACGTGAAGTAGCATGATTCTGAAGAATTTCTACAATGCAAGTAATGTTTTATCTTATAAAAAGGTGAACCCATGAAACTGGTCAAGTGAGAGATGAAACTATTTTTTCTTACTTTCTTGCTCAAGCCCTATCATTTATTTCATTTTCAATTTTCACATTTATTAGCTCTTATATTAAATAAATTGATTTAATTTACTAGTATTGTTTATAAATGATCTTATTTACTATAAACTTGTAATTGTTTACGAGTCATTATTATAACATTATTTTTGGACCACCATCAAAATTAAACAATTTTTTGGGTTGTCCGCTTGTCCTTTCCTCTTCAATTCATTAGTACAGATCTATTGAAGTGACACAGATAATGTGATCTTGTTATACCTAGGTCAAAGAGTCGAATATGGTACGCTATGGTACAAGTAACCATATCATTAGTACAACTAGTTGAAGCATGGGATCTGAGTAGGTGAGTAGTTTTTAGTATAAATAGAGGGTATTGGGGGTGGGGATAGTTATCGATTAGTTTTGTGGTTGTTTTGGGCTTAGGCCTGTGGGAGATAACTCGGCCTCTCGAAAGCCGAGAATGTTCTGTAATCAATCATTTTCTTTTGTGTTCAATTGATTTGTTCGATTCTGATAGCAATTACGTATTTGGTCGATACAAGTGTGTATCAAATTTATTTTGTATATAGATACCTGTTCATTTCATATGATTTGATAATAAAACTGAATTAGAGAAATCAACAAGATTTATTATGATTTGAGTTGTGAAAACTTTTGAATATGATGCTAAGTCCTTATATGCAAAAAGTGGGGTTCTTGCAAGTCACTACCATAGGGGAAGCTTCACCAAGAACCTAAGTTGTTACCTCGTTTTTGTGGGATTTTTATGGTTTTTTTAGTTACTTTTATTCTATTTTGTTTTAATAGATTTAATTATAAAAAATAATAATAAAAGTATATGGGACCCACAAAGAAGTTGGAGGAGGTTCTTTTACCATACTCTGAGTTGCTTTTAGGTTCTTCAAAGTCATTCTGTTGCTTTGATCTGAATTAGGAGATTCTGTAGGTGGCTTTGAATATTTTATGCAAAACTTGATTTAATATAAAAAAACGAATTAGATGTAGAATGGATTTCTGGAATTGAAGTTGAAATAATTACGTCAAGTAGATCTCGATTTCTGAAAGGTATGTTAAATCACCATGCATGCAGATTGAATTTTATGGAGACTTTGATGGTAAATTTCACAAGAGCTTGGAGTTGGAGTTGGATCTCAGTTCTGCTTTGCTTGGGCATCGCTCAACTAGGTACGTGTGTGTTTCTGTTCCATAACTTATCAATTTTACTGTCAAAACCTGATGCTTTCAACATCCAAAAAACGGTTTTTAATTCTGCAACGCCCGACTGTTTTTATTTTAACCCCTATACTTTTTCCCCGTCTTTATATCGATCTTGCCATTAGTAACTTCACATTTGACACCCAAAAGCAGATATTACTTGCGAGGCAGAGGGATTGCTATTTTGTTCGTTGATGATATTGTATTCTGAATCCATGGGGTCTTAGTCGTTTTAAACACTGTGTTCTCGAATATGGGAAGAAAAAGGAAAAGGACATAAATGGAAGAAAGTTTTTTATTTGTGTTCTTGATATAAATTGTTTGTGGACATATTGTTTCTCAGATGGTCAGCATTTGTGGAAGATGGGAAAATTAAGGTTTTGAATGTGGAGAATGTTCCATCTGACTTCAAGGTTTCTGGTGGTGAAGTAATCTTGGGGCAGATATAAAGAGGTGTTATCTTTAGTTTTAAGCTTTTAGGAGGAAACTATTGAATAATGCAGAAGCAATATATATTGGCAGAAACCTTTCTTCTTCATATTTCTTCCATCTATCCCATTTTGGAGTTGATGCCAATATTGTCATACTACTTCAGTTCAAGGCTGTTTGGTTGTTTTTTTATTAAGTTCTCTATGGATAAAGTTGTTTGTGGAATGTTTTTTTGGAAAGGTTTTTATTTGGGAGGGTTTTCTCGTAGATGGAAGAAACTTGATTTTTAATTGGGAGAGACATGTTTGGAAAAAAAAACTTGGTTTTTTGTCTAAAGCTTTCCCTTGAAGCTTACTAAATAAACTATTATCTAATATCATTAGGCCACTGTCAAACAGTGATGTATTATTGTTGCGAGTGTCATTAATCTTTTTAAGTTGTTAACGAACAGGTTTTTAGAGGGTGTTTTGGTTTAATGGAATGATTTTGAGAGATTTGGATTTAATGGAGGAATTTGGAATCGGAGGCATTTGGATTTGGAAGCATTTGGAATCTTGGTGTGTTTGATTTGTAATGGAATTGAATTTTAGTCTTTATGAATAATTTGTATTAACAAATTATAAACAATTATAAAAATAATTGAATTATCTTTTTATTAGTTGCTTATTTGAAAACAAATGTTTTCAACATGTTTTAAATATTATTATATATAAATACTACAAAATCCCGTAAAATCCCAACCATCCCTGTGGGATTTTAAGATCCTATCTTTCAAAGATTTCAAATCCGATCAATCCACCAAACAGGGTATTGGAATAGATTTTAATTCCAAATTCCTAAATCCTTTCCGTTTCTACAAACCAAATAGAGGGTTAGTGTTATTTGGCCTTTCATTTGGTACTTTGGTTAAGAAAAGTATGTGATTCGTGTTCTCGAGTTCTTTTTACGAGAGAAAGGGAGGAAAAGTGTAACACCTTAAAAGTACGGGGCATTTGTAATAAACATTTTAACAAATGACTAGGGATACTAAATGGTGAAAGTTAATTTTACAAGGGTAAAAAAAAAAAGATTTAAGAAATTTTACTAATCTTTGTAAATAATATCAAATTTCGGGTAATGGTAGTATTGAAAGAAATTATATAAAATTATTATGAAATGGAGGAAATTACAAGTTAATGGGTATGGAAAGAAAAATCGTCTCTTCAACTGGGGAATGAGGAAATTATAATCAATAGAAAAATACATTATATATAAGGGATGCAAAAGCTAATAAATCCATTCACCTCATGAGCTTACGAGACGCTTGAAAGAAAGAGAACGTTTCCAAGAAAGATAAGTAGAAGTTTCAAGATTGATGATCAATCACGACCGCGTTGAGGTAAAAATCAAGTAATTCTCGGTTTAATATTAAACTAGTGAATTGGGATCTGTATATATGTGGTTATCGAGTCGATTAGATGATCAGATACTGGATGATCTTTTTGATTTAAAATGAAGATCATATATTACAATTAAAACCAATAATATTTAAAGTCGTAATGATTCAAAAACATGAAACAAATGGTTGTACGTTGGTCAAACACAATCGAGGTCAAGTCTGGCCGGAAAAAAAAAAGCGTATATGATCCAGATCTTAATAGAAGGAACACCCATAGCTCCGAAACAAAAAGAAAGCAAAACAAAAGCATGGTTGTGGTCTTGGGCAGGAAAAAAAAAGAAAGAAAACCATGGGTACTGCTTATGGCAAGCTTCTGTTCCAATAATATGCAAGTTTTTCTTTCACGCACACACACATATGTTTGTGTGTGTGAGAAATGGGTAACGTGTATATGTGAGGTAGAAAACCTACTACGCCATGTATTTTTGTGGGTGCATGAGTTATATATATATAGAGGCTCATTCAAGGGAGAATTGAGTTGTTTGTAGTAACTGTGAGGTCCAATCTTAACCACAAATCAACGGATAAATAAGAAAATTAGTAATTATGGTAATTTGAGTTAAAATTATAATTAGAGAGCATTTTAGGTATTTTTATAAAACTCCTCTCTCCTCTCTCCGACCTCCAATCTCCGATCTCCGGCCTCCGGTAAACATTAATCTGGCAGGTACCAATGTATTACCAATTGGGGTACCACCATGTACCACAGAATTTTCACCCGTCTCCTCCTTTCCCAATCCATCTTCTCCGGCCATCCTGTGATACCCATTACCCAATGTATTACCAATTGGGGTGCCACCATGTACCACAGAATTTTCACCCGTCTCCTCCTTTCCCAATCCATCTTCTCCGGCCACCATGTGATACCCATTACCCATGTATTACCAATTGGGGTACCACCATGTACCACAGAATTTTCACCCGTCTCCTCCTTTCCCAATCCATCTTCTCCGGCCACCCCTTCATTGTTGCAGCCACCATCTCCTTATCTCCCTTCTCCCTTTCACCTTCCGCAACACACGCACGCACCCCTGCACCACTGTACGAACTAACACAAACACACGGACGAGGAAATAGACAAAGCACACCCGAACCTTCCCCTTCGCACCGCCTCTGTCGTGTCTCGTCTCCGTCGTCTGCCTCGTGAACCACTCCAGCAAGTCCCAGTCAATGCTTTGAAGCCATCAAAGAAACAGTCAAAGCAAAAACAGTGCCGATTTTCTAAGACGAAAAAATAGTCAACTACCCATGGCAACACCTGGTCGATGAAGAAGAAGATGAGATGAGGTTTTCTAATACCCATGGCAACACCTGGTCATGGGGCCAAATCAAAGAAGAGAGATAAGGTTTTCTAAAAAGGAGAAGATGAGATGGTTGTGGAAGGGAAACCGTCGATGAAGAAGTAGATGGGGGTGATGGGGGTGGCTGGAGAAGAAGTAAACGATGGAGAAGAGTACCTAGAGCATATAGGGTTTTCTAATTATAACATTACCAATTTACCCTTTATGTTATTTTAGGATATAACATTAATTATTTAAATGATTGGCTCATATTGGACCTCACAGTTACCACAAACAACTCAGTTCTCATTTGATTAAGCACCTATATATTATATATATATATATATATATAGGGAGAGGGAGGGGGAGGGAGATAGAGAGAGAGAGAAGCGATCAAATGCAAACCACCCTTATTTGTACAAATCGTGCAAACCACCCTCATCCGTCGATTTCATTGTTTAATCTTATGAAAAAAAATTATAAAATTGTTTAATCTTGTGAAATTGTTTCATATAATACTTTCTTTGATGAAGTTGTTTCATATATGGTTATGAAATTGTTTCATATAATACTTATGAAATTTTAATGAGATTGTTTCGTGTATTTCTCTAAAATTAATATAATGAAGATGATAATATCCATGACCTTCCACAATAAAAATGATTAATCAATGAAGATCCCAGATCTAACATCAATTCAAGAATAAAACAGTAATTGAAAGAGAAGATGAAGATCATGAACTTTGAAGAACCGGCCGATTACTCGTATTCAATGAAAGTAGTAAAGTACAAACTCTCTTAAATTTCAGACGACTCTCATGTGAAGGAATATAGAATGAACAAATAGGATAATCAACTATACTTCTAGGACCATGTCACCTATTTATAGGAGACATTTACAATATAAAGCCCAATGCCCTTAAGCCTAATTACATGAATATTACAATACAATACCAAATAATTGATTTTATAAAACTTTCATAAACTTAGGACTATTTTAGTCCTAACAATCAACCTCTCATAATTACAAAAAAGTAAACAAAATAAAAAATTATGATTGACTGAATGAGGCTTGTACAATTTGTACAAATGTAACACCCCAAGATCCACATTTGCATATAACCATGTATTTCATATAAAGAGAAACATCATAGTACTATCGGTCCCAACAAGATATAACAAGTTACATCTCAATGGTAGCTAACTATTTTTTTTTCCACATCATTCTTGTACGTCACTTGCATATATAACAAATATTCAAGATCAACAAATAACAACTCTTCTCCATAATCCAAGTAAGCATATAAGGAAATGTTGGTTCCAGCCGGATCTACAAGAGTTAAGGTAATCAGTTTGTAGAGGGTGGGGGTGAATACAAACACATAAAACTTTCACTTTTAAAATTATATATTGATAAAGAATATCAATACAAATTTTACAGATTGTTTGCAGAAAGAATAAGGTAAAGAATCTATCTAAACAATCTATGATACACATAATTACAAATAGCAAAGAGAAAAGATTTGCTACAAGAAATAAAGATAAGAATAAAAGTGCTCTTCACTTGTTCAAAGTGATTCTTTCTCTTAGACAAAGAGTAGAGAGGGAAGTAACTTCTTGGGTAAGTTAGTAGTGAGGAGAGTGATAACTAAGAGGAGAGCACTCAATTATTTATACCCATTGAAATGCAATTCAGAAGGTACAAAGCACGTGTCAAGCTTTTGGAGGAAAGCTTGTCCTTTGCTACAGTATACAGTCCTTTTGACTGTATATGAACAGTCTTCTTTCATAAAGTAGGTAAGGACTATAGAGTTAACAGAGTGTCTCCGTACTGTACTATACTCTAGAAAAGGCATGGCTTTGTCCTTTGTGTGAGGGAGGACAAGACAAAAACAATCGTGCTTGGTAAGTTACATTTGATCGTTGAATACTGGGATGACGCTGAAAGGTCTCTTAAGTATTTGCTGAAACTTGTGTAGACTTCACACATATATAGACGAGCTTGTAATAATTGAATACCACTTCAGATCACGAACTTGCTGGTCTCTAATCTTCAGCTTCTGTATTCGACATCCTATGAGTTTTGTCTTCTTGAAGTATAACAGTCTCTGAAGAAATTATAATACACGTTCAACGATTACTGAACATACTCACTGAAGATCGCTGAAACTGAATAACAGAAATACTATACTTTGATAGATAAAAAAGGATCATCATCAAATCAATGATTGAGAGGATCAACAATCTCTCCCTATTTGATGATGACAAAACAACAAAAGAAAATTGCCTAAGTTATAATAGTAAGGAAAAGGTACAAGTAAAATATATGTTTCTTTTAACTATTTTGGGATCTTTTTCAGTGATACAGTTTACTTAAGTTTGTAAATAATTACAAGTTCAAGAGAAACAAACAAAAATATGATAACTAAAGTTGAAAGCATATTCACTGGCTGAAAGTTGTTAGTGAATGAAAGAGAACCGGAACTCATAGATACTTATCCCTAT